GAGAGAGAGAGAGAGTATGTGTGTGAATGTGTGTGACACAATACAATAAATAAATGAAAATGTAATAAAAAGGATAAATTTCTTCAACCTTCATTCAAAAACTTTTTACAATAATATGAGCTTAAGGCAAGTCATCAAAGCTGAAGTCCTCGTGTCAAAGGATGCTGGAGCTGTTGACTAGCCCATCCCTGAGTGTTCCCAGTGGCCTGTGCTCATCTCACTTCTGCAAGGAAATGGTACAGAAGATCAGTATTGTGTCGGACTGAAACTGCAGACTCAGGAATCAATTTCTTCTCCTCCAATAGAGCCAGTCAAATGTACAGCCTGCTAAAGTGATTGGCATTTCAGGTCAATAAGGCTAGTAATAATTATGCTGCCTTCCCAGCATCGGCTGGAAAAACATCTCAGACCTCAGACGTTTAGCATAATTTCCAGAACCGCCAAGACCACGTTAACTGCCTATCACCTCTGAAAGTGCAGAAGGGCAGGTTATCCCACAGGTCACCAGAGAAGGTGGAACCTGGAGCTTGTCCAGGCCACATCACACCACCTGGGATGCCTGTGAACAGGCATGGAGCATTCATTTCTACGCCGGTTTCAACTTTCACAACGGGGACCACTTTGCAGTTTCGGCTTAGAGTAATCTTGGAGAGAAATCCATAAACCCCTGACTAATGCCTTCTTGACTGTGGCTGTGAATGGAAGACCGGGCGGCAGTGTAAATAACACTGACTAGTATGCTAGGCCATTGCAACTCTTTTCATCTGAGATCCTCAAAGCACTCTGCTTGTACAACCTCACTTAAGCCTTGCAACAACTTCTGAGAAATACATGGAAATATTATCATCTCCATTTCTCCGAAGGAAAAAGAACGCACGGTGAATGACCAGGTTGTCACCCTGAACTCACAATGAGGCTCATGGCCCACCAAGAGCAGTGGGAAAGGTTCTGGATGTTAAGGGTCTCCAGGAGAATGGAAAGGAGGAAGGAAGGAAGGAAGGAAGAAAGGAAGGAAGGAAGGAAGGAAGGAAGGAAGGAAGGAAGGAAGGAAGGAAGGAAGGAAGGAAGGAAGGGGATAACTTAGTGGCAGGAGCAACATTGACCTTGCAAACCACAGAGTTACTGAGAAATAGAACTGCCTTTTGGATGGCGTGCTGGGGGTTGGTGAGTGAATTTGGGGGTTCCCCACTTTATCTCAGAAGACACATTTTGCAGCCCCGTGGTTTGCACTTCTGGCTGTGGGGGAACGGGGCACCCCTTTGCTTCCTCCTCTCCACTCAGTTCTCCTTGTGACGTTCCCCTCCCGGGTGGCAGCTAAGCTTCTACTTAAAATGCTCATCCACTGCTTCCCTGTGCTCCTTTGACTCCAACTTTTCCCCAATGTTGCCCTTGAAATCCGCATTTTATTGACTCAGCAATTGCAGAAACTGCACCAGGAGGTCATTGGAGATATTATCAAAAATACCTCAGAGATCCTGAACTGGTAGGTTAACAGTTAAAATTACTAAATCCTGTAATTACCCTCTTCCTCCTCTTTTTCCTCTTTCCCCATCCCCTCCTCTTCCATCTCCTGCACCACTTCCTCCTCTTCCTCCACTTCCTCCACTTCCTCCTCCTCCCTTCTCGTTCTCCTCCTCCTCTTCCTCCTCCTCCACCTCCTCTTCCTCATCCTCTTTTTCATCCTCCTCCTTCTCCTCCTCCCTCTCTTCCACCTCCTCCTCTTTCTCCTCTTCCTCCTCTTCCTCCTCTTCCTCCTCTTCCTCCTCTTCTTCCTCTTCTTCCTCTTCTTCCTCTTCTTCCTCTTCCTCTTCTTCCTCCTCCTCCCCCCTCTTTCCCATTTGAAAATGTCAGAGGCTTCTCGCCATGCTCTGGCCATGGCCATGGAACACATTTTCTCATTAGGTTAATTAATGGCTCTGCTTGGGTGGCATAATTTGGTGTAAGTTTCCTTTTAGAATTCTGTCATAACTAAAAAGGATCTTATTTTTGTTATGTTTTGTGGTGTCTTTAAATTTTTATGACTTCTACTTTGTTTAGTCTGTGTGTAATCCTTCTTTGAAACCTAATGTCCTAGAAAATTTACAGTTTTCTCTCAAAACCATCACTTTTTTTACATTTTACAGTGATTCCTGTTTCTTTGGTTCCCACTAGAACTCCATTTAAGTCTTTAAGGTGTGAGTCGAAGCTCAGGGAATTTATGATTACATCGGCAGAGTAAACTCCCCAGGTGCAATGTGTTAAACTTGACAAGATGCTCTTCATTAATCTTTGAAATCTAGCC